TCTCATTTTAATTTTCCCACAGGTGGAGAATATCTCCATGATGTGGATCTGTGGTCACATTCCTAGCAAGCCTCCCAATATGGTGGGTTTAGGGGTAGAGTTCAGCCTTTTCCTCTCTTTTAGGTGATTTGGTTTGGAACAGGAGCACCGTCTGCTGTCATGCTTGTTTTCTTGAGCCCACATCAATTATCTTTAAACACTCACTTACCCCAATCATGGAAACTGTTTCTTATAAACATGTTCATGTTACAATCTGATGATCAATTTTCTTTTATGCAGATTCCTGCAAAAGCCAGAGTGTTCCCTGCTTCCACTCTTGCCCAATTCTAACCCATTCTTTATACAGTGGCCAAGAAAAATCAGGTCTTAATGCAAAGCTTATCCTATTATAATCCATTTCATGACTTCCCATTACAATATGATAAAAACCCCTATCCTAACTTCTTACCTGTCTGTCATCCAGCTTCATGACATGTGACTCTTGTACTGTAGTTTGAAGAGTTCAAGTCTTCAAACTTACCAAGTTCTTTCATGCCTCAAGACATTTACCAAGGCAATCCCCTTGTGTCACTCTTCTCCCTAGCTCTTTGCCTTGCCAACTTCCTATTCACCTTGTAGATCTCTGTACAATTCTTCCTCAAAAAAGTCTTCCTTTCTCACACATCCTCCAAACTCAGGCCTCAGCAGTCCAGATCAGGAGGGCCCAGTTAAAATCTCTCACTACATTCTTATTTTCTTCCTGCTGCTATCAGTTTGTATTTATAGCATTCTTTCCATAATCTTTATAATTGTTTACTGTCTTGTCTCACTTATGAGATTGAGAGCTTCATGAACTCATGTCTTCACCTACACAGCTCTAGGACCAAGCCAGGCACATGAATACTAAATGAATGAACCCTGTAGAGAAATATCACCATCATCAGAATTTTAGTGTGTTATCAGTTTTAAAGCATGAATTAGTCTTCCAATAGATGTTTAATTCCTTAATGCCAGATATATACACGGACCACCATCAGATTTTTATAAAATGCCAGGAGAGACATATAATTAGCCAGATTATCATCAATATAAATTTACATTGTCTCCATTGGCCTCTGCAAGGCTCACCACCCTCTTTTAACTATCTAGTTATTTTTTTTCTCCACACTCTTAGTTTCCAACTCCTGTTCCATTTCTCCCAGCAGAAAGTTGCAAATACTTATTCACTAAACAAATATTTACTGAGCCTTTACTACAGTCCAAGTACTCAGTACACAGCAGAGACCAAAGAAAAAGTCTCTGTTTTTAAGGCATTTACATTCTACAAATAAATATTTAAATTCAAGAAGTAATGAGTACTATGCAGGAAAAGCAAGCAGATAAGGGGATAAGAGTGACAAAATGGAGGTGACAGTGTGCTATCTTAATGTGAGTCTGGAAAGGCCTCTCTGGAACATGATGTATTGAGTGGAGACCTAAAGGAAGTGAGCAGGGAGCCAACTAGGCACCTAGAGTGCAGGAAGGGCAATCCAGACAGAGGAAATAACAAGTGCTACAGTAAGAGTCTACTCATTTTTCTGAAGAAGAAAAGGCCTGTGACTGATGTGCACAAGGGCAAGAGTAAAAGGAAAGCAACCAAACAAGGGAGCAGGTACAACACCAAACAGGACCTAAAAGATGAGGCTAAAGATTTTGCCTTTTAAAAATTCCAAGCAAAAGGCTAGATTTAGTGGCTCACCCCTTTAATCTCATCTACTCAAAAGGAAGACATTGGAAGGATCATAGTTCAAGGTGAGGAAGACCCCCATCTCAATCATTAAGAGGGTGTGGTGGCACGTGCCTATGATCTCAGCTATGCAGGAGACTGTAAGTAGGAGGACTGTAGTCAGAGGCCAACCCCAGACAAAAATGCAAGACCCTACCTAAAAAATAGCTAAGAGCATAAAAGGACTGGAGGTGCGACCCAAGTGGTAGGGCACCTGCCTAGCAAGTGCATGGCCCAGAGTTTAAACTCCAGTCCTACCAAAAAAACAAAACAACGACAAAAACCACTGAAAGACAATGGAGGTTTTCTTAGCAGAGAAGTGGTATGATACAACCTCAGTTTGAAAAGAATTACACTGCGCCCTGGGTAAAGAACATACTAGAGCCTAGATTAGGGAGAATAGAAGCCAAGAGATTAGTCTGGAGATTATGTTCATTACCCAAGCCAGAGATAAAAGCAGTTGAATCAGGATTCGCTGATGGACTGAATTTGAAGTGTAAGAAAGAAAGAAAAGAAAGATAAAATTACTGTTTTAGGGCAGTTCTTAAATACCCTCTTCCTGTCCCCACCCCACACCATGTGTTAATGGCTTGGTCAGCGAACACTACTGGGAGGTGGCGCCTAATAGAAGGATGTTAGGTCACTGGTGCCTCCAGTTACCTTTAAGAGGTAACCCTAACACCTGCCTTCCTGTCTTCTCAGCTCCTGCTGCCATGCAGTGAGCAGCCCCCTCTGTCACATGCCCCCACCAAGATGTGCCGTGCTGTGGTCTCTTAATCCACACAATTTCACATGGCCAAGCCCCCATGACTGAAACTCTGAACCCATCAGCCAAAGTAAATCTCTTCTCCTTTTAAGCTACTATCTCAGGTATTTTGTCACAGTGACAGAGAGATGACCAATACGATTACCTATCATTGTCCACTAAAAGTAACCAGGGATCTAGGCTAGACAGTAACCCTAGAACATCTTGCTATGACCAGAAGTAAATAAAAATGATGAGCCATGTCAAAAGGATACAGGAGCCAACCCTTACCTAAACTTAGAATAATTTAAGCATCAAAATCAATATTCAAGCCAGGCACCAGTGACTCACGGCTATAATCCTAGTTACTCAGGAGGCAGAGATCAAGAGGATCATAATTCGAAGCTGGGTTTCAAGACCCTATCTTGAAAATACCCATCACAAAGAGGGTTGGCAGAGTGGCTCAAGGTGAAAGCCTTGAGTTCAAGCTCCAGTATCGAGAAGAGAAGAGAAAAAAAAAACCAAAAACCTCATATCAACAAATTATGTAACCCATAAAGTAAAATAATCTATGAACCTACACAAAATGACTGAATAAAAAAATAGGAAGCAAAAAGTTATTTCTTATAGTAAAATATCAATTAATAAGTGTAAAAGAAATAATGGAATTAGAAGGCCATGTTTGGGAACCAACAAAATATGTTTCAGGCAGAAATCATCACTGAATGTTAAAGCTAATAGGTAAAAGTTTAAGAAACAAGACATCTGCATGTTCTCGAAGTATACTACCACAAGATACTTAATTGCAGGTTATAAAACAGTAAATTTAAAGAGAAGAAACATGGTAGAATACCACCTTAACCAAGGAATCAAAGTTTACATCACTTGTACTAAGACAAAAGAGATATGCTATCCTTTCTGATACAATGCACTGAGGCGAACACATCACCTGTATGGTATTTTAGGTCATAATGAAACAGGAAACAAGCTCAAAGTGATGGACATTCTATGGAATAAATGACCTGAACCTTTAAAACTGTCAATTCCATGAAAGATAAAGACTATAGAATGGATCCAGACTAGAAGGAGACTAAAGAGACATGACAACAAAATGAAGTACAAAACCCTGGCCCTAAACATGGCAGCAGACGATTTTTTTCCCTTCTGCTGCAAAGAACCTAATTTGAATAGTCTTTATGTTAATCAACAGTACTCTGTGCTAAATTCCTGATTTGATGATCATACCACAGTCACGTATGAGAATGCCCGTTTTTAGGAAATACACACAAGTAATTAGTAACGAGGTATATCAGCACTATGTCTGCAACATACTCAAGAGTAAAAGAAAAATTAAAAAAGAGTTCTTCCTGTCAGGAACAAAGTACTTATTTCACACTTTGAGTTCCCACTGATGATGAAGATTTCACTTTCCTTACTGGTAAAGGAGAAACAGGCTTTAAAAGGTTAAGCAACTGCCTAAAGTAGAAGGTGGTAAATGACAGACTAAGACTTTAAACCATGTCCATATGACTCATACCCAATACTATGTTTAATGACAAACATAAAGTCTATTCACCAATGGGTTGCTTAATGCAATTTATACAACCATAGTCCCTAACATTAGCCTTATAAATTCTTACTTTCAAGATGGGAGATAGACAAGTCACCTTGGCTTACATAGTGAATTGGTTGGTGGCAAAGAAGGTAAAGACAAAAGATAAATGAACATAATCTAGGAGAGCCTGTATGATCTAGTCTCTGTACTTTCTAAACCTCTTCTCTTGCTATTCTCTATACCATATTTTCTTTATCTTAAACCACTTTAATTCCCACAATTCATTACACTTTCCCCTACCCCCAAGTCTGTTCATTTTCACATCTGTTCCTTTTGATCATATGGGACCCCATTTCCTACCATCCCAAAGAACTATTCTATATCCTTTAAGACCACTCAATGAATCCTCCTCTGAATCCTCCAGATAGATGCTTGCTTTCCTATTCTCTCAACACTATTCCATAAGTGAACTTTTCACATTAATGAAATTTTTATATACAAGCCTCTCCTATACTATTTTTAAGGGAAGAATTCTGTCATTCACTTTGGCATATCCAGCATCTGGCACATAAGAAGATCCTTTGTTTTTATATTTATATCTTGCTATTGTTTGTGTTACAAACAATTAAGACAGAAGCATTTAAGAAGTATTTCTTGAATTAATGAATGTGTTTCATTACTTAGAAAAAAACTTGTTTCTTGGTCACATCCCAAACTCTACTTCAGACAGAAAATAAACTAAGCTCATTTAATATTAACAATCAAAGTACTGTGTTTATCTGCAAAGCAAAGCAGTTAGGGGTTTGAAAGGAAAAATGTAACCAGCAGAACTACATATACAGTACATACAAATCAAAATAGATAGGCAGCTACTACTGTTTTACTCATAATATAATTAATTCTGTTTCCCATCCATGAAAAGTTGCTTGACTGCCCAACTTGATATTCAACTTTACCTGCAGTGCTTGTTCTTGGATATCACGAAATAATTCCATATCTTTCTCAGTCATGATTTCCTGACTCCCAAAAAGTCGCTCTTCACTTTCTTGTTTACCATCCCAGCCATCCTGATTGTCTGTGCATAAAGGAAGGGCTCACATGTTATTTGTACCATCTTTAACTATATACATGAACTTTCAATTTAAAGCCTGTAATATTATTTCTATTAGTGAGAAAGAGGATAACATTAAACTAACTCAAAGAAATACACTACTCAACAAAAAACCTTTATATAATATATCTGCCTTTTAGTGAAATCTTGAGTTATCTTAAAGCTTCCAAAAAATATGACAAAACCAAATTTAAACATCATTAAAAGATCACATTTTAATAGGCAGAACACAAAAAAGGTCAAAGTATAACATTTATTTTGAAATAGTATGAATTTGATACTTTTAATATGAGTTTAGTATGTCAACATTTACCAGATAATCTTCAAAGTTGCTACTTTAATTGATACAGGAAGTACTAACTCCCTTCATATTCTGGGTGCCCTGTTAAAGCACAAACTCCACAAACCTGAGGACCACAGGTGATAATCCTCTGGCCAGGTAAGTCTAAATGATGGCTCTTCCTCAACTGGGCAAAAAAATTAGTGAAAGGAGTATTTGGGAATTATGTAGGTCATTATCCTTTGCATTTGAAGATGACACTGCTGATGGCCTCATTTCCTCTTTGTATGAGTATGGCTGAAAAGACCAATCAGTGACAGTTCTTTTCAAATCAACTGTACATACAGGCTATCTGTTAAGTTATTCAGTACAAGAAGAAAAAGGATAAAGACTCATTGTTGACAAAATTCCCAAGGGGGGGGGAGGAGGGGGGGATGGGATGAAGTACATTCTAAAGGTACCATGTAAGCTTAATGCCCCCGAGTGCATGACACAGACGAAAGCAGGCCCAGATCTAGAACAGCATTTGGTAGCATCATATTAAGATGATGTACAAATTTTTCCTCAAAATCTACAAGTCATAGAGAAAAGGACAGGGTAAACACACCAATAACCCAAGTTCAATGTTAAAAGTTCTCCATGTACTTTAGACATTTGCCATAGCAATTTCTACTTCTAAAACTTTCCAGTAGATTCTTTTGCACTTTGAATTCCGGGCTTTGCACTTGTTAGGCAGGAGCTCTATTGCTTAGACTGATGCTTTCAGTCCTTTTTGTTCTAGTTAGTTTAGAGATAGGATCTTGCATTTTTCCCAGGCTGGCCTGGACTTCGATCCTTCTATTTTATGCTTCCTGCCAGAGCTGGGATGACAGGTGTGCATCACCATGTCGTTTTTTCCCTGGCTAAGACAGAGTGTCAAAAACATTTTTTTGTCCAAGCTGGCCTAGAACCAGCCCCCCCATACAGCTGGGATGACAGGCATGCACCACTGCATCAAGCTATTGGTTGAGATGGAGTCTCGTGAGCTTTTCGGCTATGCCTAAAACTGCAATCCTCCTGATCTTAGCCTCCTAGGTAGCAAGGATTACAGATGTGAGCCACCAGCACCCAGCTCCAGTAGGCTCTTCCGATAATCCATCTCCAGTGCATCTGTTGTACATTAGGATTTGCTTTGAGTCTTCTAAATCCAACCTAAATGGATTACCTATTTTCTTAGATAAACATGCTCAGACTGAAGCTTATCTACAGTCTATACTCAACTGAAGATATGAAAATTCTTGAATGCTTAAAAAATAACTAGTTGATTGCCACTCTAGTGAAAACCAACCAGGAAAGCAGAAACAGGGAAACCTGATAATGATGAAGATTTTATTTTCTGCAGTGGACCAATTAACCATTTATATAAACAGGAATGAAGAAGCAGTGACTATAATCACTTACTAATGGAGCAATCAAGAGAGGGAATCAAAGTTAAGAAATTCTCCTGCAGTAGGTGGGAAACTACAACTTTGCTCCTTGTGATTTAAACACTTGGTTCTCAATCTACTTTCTTAGAACCTTTTCCTCTAAACTCAGGGCTCAGTAATGAGGCTATTTTAAGCTTTAATTACCAGAACAGCTAATCAATATTCCTGATTTGAATTATTTGCTTCACTGTTAAGTCATTTCCACAAATGTTTTCTACTTCAAAAATTAGGGAACTCAGTCTGATACAAAGACAAATATAGTCCTCTAAGTTTAATACATGAAAAACCTACAACTATTTGTTTCCAACATCTGAAGTAGGAAATCAGTGGCCTCATCATATATGCATACACTGCGGTCTTTTCTGTGTGCTTACATCAAAAGGAGCTTAGCCACCTCTGCTCTTTCCAAGTTCATTTAAGGAATAAAGCAAGTGTCTTGATGCTGCTCATTATATGACTTATGTAGTGATCTATGAAACATAAAGTTATCCTTGATTCAAGGTTACATCCCAAATGTCTATAGTGTTTTTGTGCTTCAACCAATAAAACAGGATTTTTTTTTGCCTAGGAGTTCCAACTGGTCCATTCTGCAATTTCATCTCTAGCTCTAATTCCCGCCATAGTATCATGTAACTATGGACTTTAATACATTCTTATATTTCATAACCAAATTTTGTTTCATCTTGTGACAGGGTGTCAATATGTAGCCCTACATTGGCCTGGAATTTGTGATCCTCCTGCCTCAGCCTCCCGAGTGCTGGAATTATGGTCTTGTGCCCTAATTGTGCCAAAAATTGACTGTCCCTAATCAATTTTTTATAATCAAATATAAATCTGTTCTAGATAACTAATGTTACTTCAAATAATATACTTTTAGAGTACTTTTTGTTTCTAAGCTTGTTTTGAACTTTTACCTGTGGGCCAATCTGAAGTGCTTGATTTTCTGTTGCCCTTTTTCCTGACTCTGTATTGCTCAGAGTAGTCTACCACTTCCCCTCGAGCTTTCCGCCCATCAGGGGAAGGGGTGAAGAATTTGGTAAGGCCATCTATGAGCCCTTTGGTTTTCTTGTTGAACTTCAAGGGGACACTGCTATCTCTGCTGAAGTCCAAGCCATCTATTCGCTCTAAATATCCTTCTTCTGATGATGATGATGCTGACTGGCTGGAGAGAGTGATTTTACGTTTCCGACCCCTTCCAGGGCCAGTTCGAACTTTGCTGAAAGGACCTTTTGATCTAAAGAATCAAGCAGGGAAAAAAAATATAACTATTAAAAAGAAATCACGATAAGGTTTCTATCAAACATATTATACATACTTAGGAAATAACCCAAAGCTTTATTTGCTATAAATAGTACACAAATGAGAAGTAATATTTTTATTAAAAACATCTATTTCCAGGAAGCCTAGTTTATGGTGAAAAGAGCCTTAAAACAGAAGTTAGAAGATGCATTTGAGCCACAGTTCAATTACTTGCTAGCCGTACATCTTAGGCAAATCACATTCTTTCTAAACATCACTGTCTTCATCTATAATGAGAGTTGTACCAGGGAACAATTAACATCCTTCCAGCTATGAAGCCCTATATAATATATAACCTTTGCATCAACTCAGAGTTATACTCTGACCTCTAAACACAAAGACAGGTAACTCTGGAAGTCCGAAATCAAGAGATTTTATAGGAAGATTAAAGCTTGACTTAGTGAAAGTATAGAAAAGATAGGTAAAATTTTTGAGAATCGAGAGGTTTACAGGCTTTGAGACATTTCACACATTATCCAAGATAAATTACTAGAGAGATTTTTCAAAAAGACAAAATTAATTACTGAATTGTCCCACCTCCCCTAGACATAACCTCATTTCCTAGTCTACAATCTGATTTCTGTTATACATGAAAACACACTCACTTTATATCAGGAGAATAAAAAATGGGATAGAGCTACCACTTCAATAGGAAAAGCTTACTCCCCAATGATTTGTAGACTGATAAGTACATATGAGAAACCTGAAAAATGCTATATTTACAAATTTTTCTTTGTGGTATTTATATAAGAAACAACCTGAGGCAATGGCTAAGAGTCATACTTTGGTGCCAGACTACTTAGGTTTTAATCTAAGTACTTATTGTATAACTTGTGCAAGTTAATTTCCCTATGCTTTAGTTTCTTCTTTTGAAAAACAGAAATACCACCACCTACATTTTATTGGGTTGTTGGGAAAATTAAATGATTTAACACACATAAAGCACAAGAACAGTGCCTGGCACTTTAGTAAGGCCTCAGTAAGTGTTAGCCATTATTATTATATAAAAGTGCCAGTTACAACAATGAAACTTTTTTTTCATAAGTACATCCTACACTATAGAGAAAGCCCTATCCTTTTCTCCCCTCACCTTGCCACAAGTACAACTTACACCGTGTTTTGTTTCTTTAACCTGTTTTTGGGACGTCCTATTGGATTAGCATAGCGCCGTTTTATCTGTGCTGCCTTCTTTTGTAGAAGCTTTCGTCCTTTTTTCCTAGGTCGACATATTTGACATATCCACATGCCTATAAAGAAATATAATTCCATAACACACATGCACAGGAAATCAATGGGAGTAAACTCCCTGTATAGCTATCCTTATCTCAACTAGCAAAAACCCTTGGTCCTTCCTATTATTGCTTATACTCTCTCTTCAACAAAATTAGAGATAAGGGCAAAATAGTTTTGCCAGGTAGTGAGGGAGGTGGAGGATAGGGAGGGGGTAGGGGAAGGGGGGACAAAAGACCCAAACATTGTATGCACATATTAATTAAAAAAAAAAAAAAGAAATGTAATTCCGCAGAAATGTATGACATACATAAATACACACAAAAATTTCAGATATTCTAACTCAAAATCTTAAATTCCTTAAGGTCAAGGACTAACATTTGAAAATCAGATGAAAAATCCCCAGGGTTGGGGGGAAGGGAGGGGGAACAGGACAGCCATGCTACAAACATACTTAAAGCTTGCAAATGATGGAATCCACTGGTTAGTGGCTCAAGTAATAGAGTGCTTGCCTAGCAAGCATGAGGCCCTGAGTTCAAACCCCAGTACTGTCAAAAAAAAAAAAAATCTCTATTCTACAACCAGGATCCAGGTTGGGTGCCTAATTACTAGCCTTTAATAAAAAGAAGCAGGTTTCTTAAGGTAATGATTGATTCCAGATCAGGGAAGCGAAAATGTAAAGTAATCTGGAAGTCCTTATGGTGCCAGAAAATAAAGCAGTGCACATTAAATGATAGAGGCATGTCAAAAAGACACAGGAGCTAACTTGAAGGATTCCCCAGTGGGCAAATCTGGGATAATTGGAGCAAAAAAATAATAGTAATTGGAGTGGTGGATGATAATCCACAGAATAAAATAAATTCATGAGTTCATAATGATTTAAATGACTGAATAAATAAATATAAGAGATAACTTATCTTTACAGAAGAATTCTAACTAATAAATGTAAAATGAATGATGGAAATACAAAGTCACCATTATGCAGATATCATGGTAATAATTAGTACGAGTAAGAATGATTCACGGATGTTAGTTAGTGGACAAAGGGTAAATCTGTTTCTTTACTGTAATCAAGTGATCAAAATTAACAATATTGGTATTAAGACAGATCCCTACTATCTACCTGTTAATATACTGAGAAGGATACCACATCACTTTTGTGGCACTGTCAAAATTCATAATCTCAATAATCATGGGAAAGCAACATACAAACAGAAATTGAGGAGCTTTCTGTAAAATAACTGACTGGTACTCTTTAAAAGTGTCAAGGTCAGGAAAAACAAAGCCTGAAGTCACAGACTGAAGAACACTAAGGTAATATGACAACTAAATGTAATGTGAAATCCTAGATTAGATGCTGGATCACAAGTTCAAATAAAGTCTAGAGATAACCATATCATATCTACATTAATTTCCTAGTTTCAATAATTATACTATGGTTTTATAAGATGATAACACTAGGGAAAGCTAGGTAAAGGATACAATGAGAGTACTCTGTACTATTTTTACCACTTCTCTGGAGGTCTGAAATAAATTCAAATAAAATGTTTCCTGCTTTAAGGTGTTACAAAACCTCTTGTGTATAAGTTACATACACTGGAAAGAAGTCCTAAGAATAATCTTCCTTATCATAAAGGATTCTCAAGAGGCCTCTTGCCTAGACTTCAAATAAATGGAGTCATTCTTCTTTAGGTAAGCCAATCCATTCCATGGTTATTTCTTTAAAGCGTCTTCTTTTTGTTTTGGCAGTACTGGGGTTTGAACTTAGGGCTTTGTCAGGTACTGCTATCACTTGAGTACCCCCAAAGGGGTTATTCCTCTAATGTATACAAATTTAAGACTTTTCAAAAGGTAATAATCAATAGAATGGCCTAAGAGTAATTCAAGTAAGACCTTCAAGTGGATAACTTGGCTATAACCCAAGATTGGGTACTTTTCCATCACCAAGAAAACTTTCGTCAGAAATATTATCAAATACCTTATAGGCATTTCCTTAAGAAACGTAAATAACATAAAATCAGAGTTGAAATGGAATTTGTGATAAGTCAAAACAGAGACACCAACTGAAATTTTCTTTTAAGGAAACTAAAAACTTATGATGATACTCCAGGGAAGTCCAACTAAAACTAACTTATCCCAACTACCTAAAGTCTATCACAGATAACACTTTTCAAGAAACAAGAGTCAACAACAGAATAACATTAAATGGAACCCCTACGATTTAGATATTTACTTCTTCACAACTTATTTTATTAAGTTTTTTTTTAAGTTTTGAAAAAAGCAGATCTCACTGCAGGAACCTCAAAAGTGCTGAGCAACGATATAATCAACATGATAATATAATTTCATTTCCTCCTTTTAAAAAAGAGATTACTTTCAAGATATTACATATGGCAAGTATTCTGGCCTCTAGCTAGAGACTGGCAAATATTTATAAATGAACCACTTCACCCACTTCACCCATGGATGCTTCAATGTCAGAAGCAGAGGAAAATAGTAATAACCCACACCACCCAAAAATGTTAGCATGCCTGAAGAACTATCCCTACCTTTAAAGTGACAGCTCTCTTCCTACTTATACAACTCCAAACAGCGCCAATTAGTTTTAACAGTAAATAAAATGTACTTTCACTAACACATCTGTTTATTTATCAGTTTGATTTCAGAAAGTATTTCTCACCTTTTGGCATTCGTGTGAGTGGTGGATCACAACACTCCATGTGAAAACCTCGGTCACATGAATCACAAAAGAGCATGTTATCCTTAAAATAAGAAGAAAGAAAGAGATAGTTCTGCTTAACCTTATGAAACAGAAACACATCAGGGTCATAACTTCATAAAATGTGGGAAGCTTCAAAGATCTCAAATGAGATGAGTTAGCATACTAAAAGTTTCCTTAACTAAGTATATAAACAGTTTGACTTGGCAAAAAGTTTTGCTTCATCCAATCTTTGATGAAGAGCTATAGTTTCATTACTTTCTAATATATTCACAGCCAAGAAAAAGCTATCCCTGGTCTGTTTTAATGGAAAGAGAAAGGAAGAAAAAGATGATTTTTATTTAGGAAATGAACATTCCTAAATGAATGCCTCCATATTGTCCAAAGAAATTTTGGAATCTTTCATTAAAGTAGCTTAATCTCTGCAAATATAAAATGAAGGTGCTTCATAAATTACCTAGAAATAGTGTAAATATAAATGAGCAAGTATTCCAAACTAATGGCGTATAATTTGAAATGGCTGTTCTTAATTCTACTGGGCCAAGAAATTGAAAAACAGCCAGCCATACTGGATGGAAATGCCAGTTGCACCTTCTTCTGAATGAAATACCCACATGGGAAGGCAAAATACTCACTGCATTTTTGCCTTGATCACGACAGGAGCTGCATGTTTTACACTCAATGCACTGCCACCGTAAGGCCTTCACTCTAACCGTTAGTTCTGGGGAAAACTTTAAGCAGGATGGATGACCTAATAAGAGGGGGAAAAAATTCATGAGTAAAACAATCAAGAATTACTTTGCAATGGTATTAAAGAAATGATGTAGGAAATGGCAACTCTTAAATACAAACTATATATCAGATACAAGAAGATGCTCCCAAAATCTTGCCATACAATGTCTCATCAGGATTTGGCATCCTCATTCAGTTTTACTTCTATATTGGATTTAGAACACTTTATCCAATTTGGTTATTAAAAAACCTGACAACGCTTCTATTAAGACCATATCAATGCATTATGTTTGTATACATGTTGGTAGGTATATAAATACAAATATGCCCAATCTACTTATGGAAGAACACACAAATGGGTATTTACATTGGTAATATCCTAGCAAATGGAGTTACTAGCATTTTGAAGGATTTTATGCCCTCTCTGTGCTCTCACTTTTTAATGGGAACAGGTCACTTTCCTAATTTGAAAATATATATTAAAAATCCCATTAATTTATTGTGAGTTATTTGTTCATAATTTAAGGCACTTATGCTAAAACCAAAACCAAAAGCAGTATTTCTATTGGGATCAGAATTAACAGCAAAAAAAAAATATTCCTCTTCCATGTGCTCAAAAATTTAGGGCAATTAATTTGCTCTTACTCAGAAAAGATGTATTCACCTGTCTAAGTAAATAGTTGGTTGTATTATTTTTTTTTCCTTTTAGTGAGATGATTTCCCTTTAGTGAAATCATTTTTTCTCTTCTCTTTTCATTTCTAAAGAATTCTTTTTTGGGAACCCTCTTACACTGTTGGTGGGAATATAGACTAGTACAACCACTCTGGAAAAAAATTTGGAGGCTACTTAAAAAGCTGGACATCGATCTACCATTTGATCCAGCAATACCACTCTTGGGGATATACCCAAAAGACTGTTACTCCAGAGGCACCTGCACATCCATGTTTATTGCGGCACTATTCACAATAGCCAAGTTATGGAAACAGCCAAGATGCCCTACCACTGACGAATGGATTAAGAAAATGTGGTATCTATACACAATGGAATTTTATGCAGCCATGAAGAAGAATGAAATGTTATCATTCGCTGGTAAATGGATGGAATTGGAGAACATCATTCTGAGTGAGGTTAGCCTGGCTCAAAAAACCAAAAATCGTATGTTCTCCCTCATATGTGGACATTAGATCAAGGGCAAACACAACAAGGGGATTGGACTATGAGCACATGATAAAAGCGAAAGCACACAAGGGAGGGGTGAGGATAGGTAAGACATCTAAAAAACTAGCTAGCATTTGTTGCCCTTAACGCAGAGAAACTAAAGCAGATACCTTAAAGCAACTGAGGCCAATAGGAAAAGGGGACCAGGAACTAGAGAAAAGGTTAGATCAAAAAGAATTAACCTAGAAGGTAACACCCACGCACAGGAAATCAATGTGAGTCAATGCCCTGTATAGCTATCCTTATCTCAACCAGCAAAACCCCTTGTTCCTTCCTATTATTGCTTATACTCTCTCTACAACAAAATTAGAGATAAGGGCAAAATAGTTTCTGCTGGGTATTGAGGGGGGGGAACCGGAGGGGGCGGAGTGGGTGGTAAGGGAGGGGGCGGGGGCAGGGGGGAGAAATGAACCAAGCCTTGTATGCACATATGAATAATAAAAGAAAAATGAAAAAAAAAAACATGGAACAACAACAAAAAAAATAAAAATAAAAAGGAATAGTAGAACATGAAAATAGTTGTTCTTCTAGGATAAGATTATAGATGAAGGGTTCCTACTTCCTCTCCTATTTCCCTTCAGTGTTAATGATATGTTGATGATGAACTTACTACCTCATAAAAGAGAATTACTTATTTATTAATTTTTTTTGGGGGGTGGCACTGTGGTTTGAACTCAGGACCTTACTCTTATTGCTTGAGCCAGTCCACCAGCCCAAAAGAGAATTCTTTTTTTTTTTTTTCATTTTTCTTTTATTATTCATATGTGCATACAAGGCTTGGTTCATTTCTCCCCCCTGCCCCCACCCCCTCCCTTACCACCCACTCCGCCCCCTCCGGCTCCCCCCCCTCAATACCCAGCAGAAACTATTTTGCCCTTATCTCTAATTTTGTTGTAGAGAGAGTATAAGCAATAATAGGAAGGAACAAGGGGTTTTGCTGGTTGAGATAAGGATAGCTATACAGGGCATTGACTCACATTGATTTCCTGTGCGTTATCCTAGAAGAACAACTATTTTCATGTTCTACTATTCCTTTTTAAACTAGCTGAAAGCCCTTGCATGGATATAATTATAAAATATGTAGTTTTTGTTTTGCTTGTGTTATTTTGAGTAAATGTTATACTTATGTTCCTTCAACTCATTATATTTTATATTCCATTGATTTAATACATTTCCCTATTGTTCAATACTTTGACTAGAGACAAAACACTAAAATAAATTATTTCTTGGTTATAGATTCTTTCCTTCTTTTAATTTCTTAGAAAAAAATTCCCAAAAGTAAGACTGATGATTGCAATGAAAGTTTTCAGTATGACAGGCTCAGATGCATTTTCCAAAAGTGACAGTACAGTATCTACTGCTACCAGCAAGGTAGAAGGTTTGAACTCTGTCATCTTTCAGTTTGTATCACTTTAAAAGCTATGATATTTCAGGGCTGCTTTGGTGGACATTGCTGTTACTATGTATTAAAACATTTTTATATGCCCAGTGATTTTTTTGTACAAACTGCCTGTTCATGGTAGACTTTATGCTTAAAAATGTAAGCATGCTATTTATTACCTGCATGGCATTTGGCTCTTTGCCATATTTAATGCTATTATTTTCCCCCAAATTATTCTTGCTCTTTGTATTTTGGGTAAGTTTTTGATTTAGAAAATACTAATTTTCATATAACATCCATGCTTTACTTCCACAGGAGGACTGTGGTGGCCAATCTCCAGGCCATCCTCCAATCATTCTTGCCTCCTTGTATAGATTCTTTCCCACACCAAATAGAGTTCATCTGGAATATTGCTGAAATGACTCTGTGTGACTTCTAAGACTAAGGTTATAAAAGATACTGCAAACTTGACCTTGCTCCATCTTGGATACTTGCTCAGAGGAAGCCAGCTGGCATGTATGGCATGGACACACATACAACCTATGGAGAAGTTGATATGGCAAAGAACTGAGGCTTCTTGTCAACACTGATCTGCCAATCAGGTAAGTGCATCATCATGGAAGCTTCAGGTGATTGCAGCACCATTAAAATCTTAACTACATCTTTACAAGATACCAAGTCATAATTGCACAGATAAGCCACTTTCAAACTCCTGACCACAGAAACAGACTAAATACTTAAAAAGCTTGCCATCATCATAAGCTGCTGGGTTTTAGAGTAATTTACTTCTGTAGCAATAGACAAATATTTATTATACTTTTTTTCTTTTTTTGAAGCCCTGGAGTTTGAATTCATGGCCTTGTGCAAGCAAGCACTCTACCACTTGAGCCACACCCCCAGCCCTTTTTGCTTTATATATTTTTTCCAACAAGGTCTCCTTTTTGCCTAGGCCAGCCTTGGACCTCAATCTTCCTACCTCCACCTCCCACATAGCTGGGATCACAGTTGTGCACCACCACACCAGTTCATCTCTGAAATAGGATTCACTATTTTTGCTTAGGCTGGCCTACAACCTTGACCCTCCTATTTCTACTTTCCAAGTATATTTATAATTTCTTTAAAAGTTACCTTTATAGTAATAGTACTCAAATTGTGCTCTTCCCTTGCTTAAAGACTCAGAGACCTTAAATGTGCTTGTTCTTAGAAGGCAGAGCTCATACAACACTCTTCCATCCCCATTTCATTCCCACCTCAACAAGAACAGATTCTTTTTTATGATTTACATATTTGAGTTCCCATAAATTTCATTAGTGAGAATGGTTCCACTACTAAAGTAATGGAAATCACTAAAATAACTAGAAATCACTGCATTGTGTGGCATACCACTGTATTTTTAAGCTAATCTTTTTTTTTTGCATTTATTTATGTGCTTATTTACTTATTTATTTGTTTGTTTATTATTTATTTATTTTGGGGTTTGAACTCAGGGCTTACACACTTGCAAACAAAGCAGGCACACACCACTTGAGCCACACCTCCAGTCCATTTTGCTCTGGTGACTTTCAAGATGGGGTCTCCTGAACTATTTGCCAGGGCTGGCCTGGAACCACAATCCTCCCAAGTACCTAGTATTACAGGCATGAGCCACAGGCAACTGGCTTGCTGTTTTCAATTTAACTGTGAAATCCACCCAGAGTTCATTTTGACTTGTGACATACCGGATATGGTTACCTGGACTCAAGATCTATTCTCACCTTCTTCCAATGCTTCTATACATAAAAGTTAAATAGCCTAAAACTGTACTTGCTAGGCTACTTTGAAGCTAGGCTCTAGATATGAACTGAGTTCTAACAACTGGATGTGGTCAAGAGACAGGTGAAACGAAGAAATGAAACAAAGATCATCTTCCTGCTAGTACTGTTTTCTAATGCTAAGCAAAGTCATGGAAGCCACAGGATCTACTCTTCTCCTTCATAGCTATCCACCAGGCAGTGATGTCATACAAAATTAGCACCTCAGTACCCAGCTACAGAACTCAACAGCTCAGTGGTGTCCTATGCCTCCATTTCTTCCAGGTGGAGGCAGATACAGTGACTACCCTGGTTGCTCGGTTTTGCAGGAGTATTAGTCCTCAAAGCCCACCCTTGTCTCTTTAGCCCTTACAACAATTTCACAAGTAACTACTTCCAGTATTAAATTCTCTTCCTCTTGAAGTACCTAGTGTAGCTTCTATTTCCTGAATCAAATCCTGATTGTTCTGTTATAAAACACTGAAAAATAAGCCAATGATCAAAGAGAATGCTGGTTTACTGAAGTCTTCCTGTAAGATCTTCTGAGTTCCTAAAATATAGACCAAGAGTATCTCTGGAACTGACAAATAAGGAGAGTGCAAAATCTTTCTTAAGGCTCAGAATTTCATACATTCACTAAACTGCAAGTCAATACTCTGTGTCTTGATGTGATACAAGTAAGTTTCCATCAAGAAAAACAAATCTGTTATCGTCCTGGTTCTTTGCATCAAGCCTGAAGCATAAATCGAGAAAGACAAGTAGTGGTTATTAAAGAAACCAGGAATAACTTCCATCTGATTGGTATGATTTAAGCAGTTGTTCAACAATAACATATAAAGATCAACAGGAAAAATTAAGTTCACAGAAAGTTTATTCAAATTAACTAGACTAAACATTTCAACTATTTAAATCTCTCCCTACTGTAGAAGCTCATCTCAGTAACCTAAAACCTAAGTCCAATTTTAATATTAATTTCATAAGAATTGAGGATACCAACTCAGGCAACTGTTCTCCTGCCTGCCAGACGTGCTGAAGGGAAACAGGAGTCACGTACCGCTGTTGCCACAGTCTGCACAGGAGATGAGTTCTTCTGGCTTCTTTTCCCGGTTTTGTTCTTTTGTACCAAGACAGAAACTACAGATGGGGATTGGTTCAGCAACCGGCTGTAAAAAGAAACACAATTCATTCCAGTACTAGTATTTTTTTCTTTTTTAGTATGAATGTAAAAAATATTAAAATTCAGTTTTATATTGGTAACAAAATTTACAAAACTTTGGGACAAATCTATCACTCTCCTAAAATTTCAACTAAATAGGTGAATTTTTACAAAGCCTGCTTTGACTGAGCCTTTATCATTAGGACACAAAATCCTATCATAATCATATTTGTCACTTAGAAACTAAATGACGCAGCAAATCCTTCACCTAAAATTGAAAGTTTCAACTGAATTAAGTACAAGAAGACATAGTAGAAAGCAATAAAATGTATCCAGATGAACATGATGTAAGGTAGAAAATATTAAGTACTAAAGAAAGAAACAGCAGTTCTCTGTAGCAGTGGGAGATAAACTCCCTTTATGGTCTGGGGAAAGGAAGACAATCCTCTATTATGGAATCTTAGTGCACTAATTCAAGGACTATAGTGTTAGAAGCAAATTTAAACCTATATGTCTGTGTTCTTCTACAGCACTGCTTCCCCCTATGAGTGATGGAAAGAAAGGAAATGTAGGTAGTATAAGTACAATGAATTTAGGTGTGCAGTCTGCTAAGGCCAGTGTACTTAACTATGTAGCTTCTGTGGATGGAAAGAAAAGGGGAAGGAAAAAAATAAATGAGTAAGCTAGATCACTTTGTGAAAAATGACACTGGATGTCTTAGGTAAAACACTGAAACAGTGATGGCAGCAGTCTTATAAAGACAAGATGAGGTCCTGGACCAAAGCTAAGGAGTGGATTTATAAACTGTTTATTGCAGGAGCTATCAAAGAGAAAATGAGTTAAACATGACTAAGGTCAAGTGAAAACACGCAGTTGACTGTGTAAGAAGATTAGGAGAAAAGGAAAGAGATGATTAGCTAAATTTTAAATGCATTTAGTTGGATTTTTTGGGGGAAGAGGAGCTGCTGGGGATGGAACCCAGGATCATCTCATTCCTGCTAGGTAAGCACTCTATACTCAATTATTTTTGCTAGGCCTTTAGCAGGATGGCAACAGAAAGCCCTTGAGATATGCTTAGTCTACTGCAGAGAACAGATGATGTACCATAAAAAGGTTGTAGAAACCATAATAAAACTCTAACTATGGGAACAAAGGAAGGAATGATCAAGTAGCAGGGAGAGGGTGTCAGAAAATTTCACAAAGTATCACTGACTTCACTTCAGCTCTTTCACGTGTATTTGGCAAGCAGACCCACCAGATGAGGGTGTTCCAAAAAGGTAGAAAATGCAGAACTGGATTTGGGACTTACTAAGCTCATTAAAGTGCCTCAGGAACATCCATGCACCAATGCCTATGGACATTATGATACAGAGATGTCCGGAGATCAAAACCTAGAAGTCACATACATACAGCATAGCATTAGAGCCATCATGGTTTTCCATGTTTTTCATGAAAAACAGGTGGAATGAAGACAGCTAAGGTTAGAACACTAATGTTTAAATGGTTGGGAAAAAAGCCTAAAAAGTAAACATGCTAGTGAGAGCTGAGTGAAATATCAACATAAGACTGTCCAACACAAAATAAAGTGTCCAACACAAACAAGCAAATAGTGTTCGGCCAAGAGAGTAAATGAAAACTCTCAATTAATGATTCTGGCTGTGGTAAGAACTTCTACTTCTTCTCCTTGAAAAAGAATATAAAAGAACTGGAGAAGAAAAGCAGGAAAGACTTCATGCAGGAGCAAAAACTTGAAGTAAGCCCTAAGGAAGAACTAGAAAGAAGGTATAAGCCAGGTCCTAAGATTTAAGCTTTATGCTGTTACCTCTAAGGTACCACTGGGGAAAGGGGTAGCAGTACTGGGTTTAAATTCAGCACTGCACTACTTGAGTCACACCCCCAAGACCGTTTTTGCTTTAGTCAATGAAGGCCTTCATTACTCGTAACTCATATTCCTCTAGTCCATTTTTAACTGCTTACAGAATGACTTCTGTAGAATTTAAACCATGGTCATACCATTCTTTTGCTTAAAATCTGGGTGGCACTGGCTTTTTGCTTAAAAACCAGTGGTGGCTGGATGTGGTGGCTCATTCCTGTAATCCTAGCTACTTGGGAGGTAGAATTGGGGAGGATCATGGCTGAGACCAGCCTGGGAAAAGTCTTAGCAAGACCCCATCTCAGTAAACAAGCTGGGCATGGTGGGATGTGTCATAGCCATATGGGAGGTATAAGTAGAAGGATGGGATCCAGCTGACTCTGAAAATAGCTAAAGCAGTGGCAGCCACCACAACATGGTAATTAAATTTAAATTAATTAAAATAAATTTAATTCCTCAGCCACAGTAGCTTCATTTTTAAGTTTCCAATGGTTGCATGCAGCTAGCTACTAACAGTCCTGGGCTATACCAATACAAAACAATTTCATACAGAAAACTCTATTGAATAATACTGCACTAGAAAAGAGGATGGATTCTAAGCATGAGAGAAGAGACTAGCTTTAAAATCTGTGTAAAGACAGACAATAACCCATCTAATTACTGTCCCCAGACTTGTCCAAACTTAGTCCTTATGTCTTATTGTTCCCACGTTCTATATAAAGTAAATGATTCCAACAGCTAATAAAACAAGACAGGTTGTAGCAAATGACTTTACACCATTAAACACAGCAGCCAGCATGACCTGTTGAAAAGTAGATCAAAAGCACACCATTCAGCTTCCCCCAAACCCTCCAGTCCTACAGCTTCCATCTAAGATTAAATGCTACAGGATCTACAAGTCATATGTGATCTGCAGGCCCCAACAAACTCAATCACCTCTCCGACTTCATCTCTTTTTGAACTCACCCTCCTAAGTTCCACTCTGGCATCTTTTCTTTTGTTTTCTTCCTCACATCAGATGTTTCAAGAACAGGGCTCTGCATGTGCCTCTTTTCTGGGTAGGATGTTTTTCCCTAGATCCTTTGGATCTCTACTCAAAATTCACCCTCACAAGTAGGGCTTCCTCTGCACACCCAGCTAACATTTCAAAACATTATGCCTGCCACAATAATCCACAGCCCATTCTGCTTTAGTGTTCCCTCTTCCTTTTTCACTACTTATTGTGTGACTATTTGTCCTCAACTAAATATAGATTCTATAATGGTTCCAATTTTTATCTGTCTAATTAGGACTTTATTACTAGTACTGACAACAGTGCCTAGCACATAGTAGGCATTCAGCACACACTGTAAAGTAACTGACTAAACTGTCTGTAGAATTGGAAATAGTAAGAAAAATAGTGTACTATATGGAAAGAAAGATGAGTTGGGTATGAGCCTGATAAAGTTATGTACAACTCAAAAATAACTGTTTACAAAGCAATCCCACAGTGATTTACAGTCTTGATAATTAAGTAAGACTTCTGCCACAGCAACCTGCCTCCATACAACTTCTCAAAAGTAGAGGGACACTTGTGGCTGGAGGTCACCTGTTGCTCTGTAACCTTAAAGCACCTTGTTGAGATCCCCACGGTCATCACCAGATGGCAGCATTGAGGCAAACATGTGGGAGATGGTCTGGTAACAAGCAGAATATTTTGACTTGAGCTTTTGGAAATAACTTTGAAAAACAGAACAGTAAAATTTTATTCAATGACTTCTGTTACTTGAAGCTTGTATCATGGAGTAAAAGAATTTTCAGACAAAATAACTTGAACTATCTTAAATAAGGACATTTTCTAGATATCCAAATCCATCATTTGATTTGTCATTTTAAAGTCTAATTTTCATTTCTTTCACCCTAAGACTTAGTTGTAATTTTTTTAAGCTCATTAAAAACTTGTCATTTTCTCCATTTTCAATGTCTATTGAGGACCTCAAATTCATCTTTATGTTGTTTTTGTTCTTAAACACTGACATAAAGAGAGTCAAGAACTTATCTAGCCAGGCATGATGGTATACATCTATAATGCCTGCTACTCAGGAGGCAGAGACTGGGAGGATCATGGTTCAAGACCAGCTGGGGCAAAAAGTTAATGAGACACCATCTCAACAAACAAAACAGGTACAGTGCCAAACTCTGTAATCACAGTTATGCAGGAGGCATAAATAGGATGACTATGGCCCAAAGCTGGCCCTGGGCAAAAACTCAAAACCCTATCTGAAAAATAACCAAAGGAAAAAGAGCTGGACAAATGGCTTATGTAGTAGAATACCTGCCTACCAAACATCAGGCCCTGAGTTCAACCCCTAGTACCATTTAAAAAAAAAAAAAAAGACTACTGTATTAGATGTAATTATCTCTAGTTCTTTCAAGACAGAACTGAAGGATAAATTCTAGAACTTCTCCTCACCAGAAATTTCAAGGAAAAGACACTGTACTTGTAAACTAAGACTTATGACTTCAAAAATTTCCAGATCACTGTTTCATAAGCCATCAGGAAACAGAAATACATGTTGAGCATGTCTAATACAAAAAATTGAAACAATTCCAAATCCAAAACCTTTTTGTGTGACATGACACAAGTAGAAAATTCTATACCTGACGTTCTGTGGTGGGTTACAATCAAAATGCAGGTGCACTAAAAATACTGTATAAAATTACCTTCGTGCTATGTGTGTAAGGTGTATTATGAAGCATAAATGAGGACCAGATATAAGTTCACACCTGTAATCCCGGGTATTTGGAAGGTGGAGAGTGGGAGGACAGTGATTTGAAGCCAGCCTGGGCAAAAGATTAGTGAGAATCCATCTCAACCAACAAGCTGGATTTGGTGGTATATGTCTATGATCTCAGCTATGCAGGAGGTATAAGTAGGAGGATGGCAGTGTAGGCTGGTCTGGACCAAAAAAAAAAAAAAAACCAAGATCCCATCTTTAAAATAACTAAAGCAAAAAGAACTGAAGGTATGACTCAAGTGATAGAGCACTTTCCTAGCAAGCACAAGGCCTTATATTCAAACCACAGTACATTCCAGTTGTTTAGACTTAGACTTGGGTCCCATCCCCAAATATTTCACTGTGTATGTCCAAATG